TTTTATGAAATATTGATATTGTTATAATAGGCAAGATGTTATACTTTATACAATTTTATAGGGAAAATATTTTCTAATCTCTTAAGAAAAATATGAAATGTATATAAAGATGTAATCTAATTATACATTTGTACTTAAAAACTAAAGTTTCATTATTTTTATACTAGTCATATGCTAAAGTTCATTTTAAGAAAAACATATTTAAAATCTTTGAATCATTAATTTAGTCTAACTTAGGTTTTTAATCACTGCAAGAGTCCTAACAGTATATTTGACAATTTTCAACCTGTTTAAATTTCAAGTAACGAAATTTATTTTAATGATAGTGAAAACCTTTGTTACAGGGTATCACTCTGATATTCATTACATAATTATATTTTGGCACTGGAAATTTAAAAACACAGTCCCTGTGGTTTTATACATTTAGAAGACATGTTTACTTTGAAGCAGCATGTTTTGCCATATTGGCTGTAATTACTCAACACCATTCTTTTACTTTTAGTTTACAGTGTTGTAGTAATGGCCCAGAAATGAATCTGAATGACAGGAAGTTGTCAGAAGAGAAGAGTATTACAAATTTAGGAGTAACCTTAATATTAAAAGAGCCTAGCATGCAAGAAATTTCTATCGATGAAAATTAGCTTTTTGGGGAAACGATTATGATAAAAATACAAAAATTGACATATTAAAGGGAAAATTCATTGAGAAAATTTAATGTGAATGTGATAAATGAATTAGTGGTTGAGGATGAAGTGATAATTTCAGGTAAGGATTGAGGATGGAAAATTCAGGGAGACTGTTAGAAGAGGCCTGATATTAGAAGAACAAGTTTTAACTTTAATTTCAAATAGCCTGGGAAAATTGAAGTTAAAGATGAAATCAAAGCATAACTTCAAAAGCTACTAGACTGCTTGGAAAAATTTACAATTTATATTTTGAAAGTGGTAGTGAAATGGACGTGGCAAGGTTTTGGTCCAGTTATGAGAACCATAGGGCTAAACATGAAACATGATGGGTACAAAGTTAGAAGTAGAAATTGGGTACAAAGTGTCCCCTCAGTCATTTGATAAATAAGTACTTCCATAAATAAAGATGAGTTTTTTGAGACCTTTTCAGGAACACACTTAATGGGTGGAAAGACAGGTGTTATTTAGGGGTTAGCAAGGTGAAGTGAAATGAAGCAAGGAAGTTAATTAAGAGCAAAGAAGTTACCAGAACCGGGCAGTAAGTATTGGAATGAGGTAAAATAGGAAGTAGAACCAGGTGTGGATTGGCATCCAGAAATGAAAAGGAAGCAGAAGTCTTGAAAGATGACGCAGTAGAGAAGTGGCACTGAAAGGATATCCTGGGCTTCTTTCTTTTTTGGGTAAAAACAGGTGGTGTGCTTCCTGACTCAAGTGTTTAATCAGCTGATGCACGGCTGATCTTACTGCAGAAATCTAGGTAGGAGGATCTGCCATGTGATGGTGTGCCTCAGAGCAGGGGCCAGGTAGATCACACAAGATGCGAATGGGTAAGATTTCTCTAAGAAGAGAAAGCAACACTTGATCCCTGTGTGGGGAAACCACAGGACGTTCCTGGGACTGCAGAAACTGGAGCACCCAGTTGCTTGTCAGTAGATCTCAAACCATCTATTCTGGACCTCTACTGTGTATATTTGTGGAAGAATAAAATAAAGCAGTTTGCACTAAGAGGTTAATACTCAGTCCGTCTCCCTCAAAGGCATTCATATTTTAATAAGGATAGCCTTTCCTCAAGGGATGAATTTTAGTCAAAAGATCATTTGTTTGGGACATGGGAGCTTTTCAACCACACATTTTTTCCCAAGGAGCTGTTGGGAAAGGGACTGCCACATAGCAAGAAATTTGGCAAGGTGGAGTGCAGGGACGACTCTTAGGGAATCTAATGAAAACTAAGGGCCCTCTACTCAGAAAAATCAGCATGAGCCTACCCTCACTTCTAGTTTCACATAGAGTTTCAAAAGGCTCAGGAGCTCCGAAGGCTCTGAGCCTTCAGAGCCTTCATTCTCATTCTCAAACTGGTATGGTCTGTTGTCATGTGTGTAGTGTGATGTTTTCCTGTTTGAAAATGCTGTAAAGATGAAGCCTGTCTGGAATTTTTAAGTTACAAAGGTAACAAAATAAGCTGAAACCAATCATTGGATGTGTTCACTGACATTGTTACTTGGTACTGACACAGTAAAGAATTACAGATCTGTAAGCCTATTAGTGTACAGACAAAGCTTATTAGTGCTGAATTCTAATGGGAGAGCAAAAAGAAGGGTGGCCAGAGGCTGGGTGACCAGCACCCAGATGGCCTGAGGCTAGGTGGCCAGAGGGCCCCGGAGGGGCAAAAGAGCCTAAGAGAGCAAGCCCTTTGTTCTGAGGACTTCTGTAGTCGGTGGGGTGGAGGTGAAGGTGGTGCCAACTTTCCCAGGGGTACATGACTACCCAAATGTACATATGTGAGGGGATCTGTTGGCCCGAATCCTTATCTAGCTCCAGATTCCATTTATTTGTTTTGTATATGTGACTGGGGAAGGCAGTTAACCAAAGTTGTTTATGGGGTTTTTCTTTGGGCACTGTGGACCCCTTCCCCTTCTCCATTCTAAGGCTTGGGATGAATACATAGTCTCAACAGTTTTTCTTTTCCCAGCTAGTGGCAATGATACACACAGACTTTCGAGGGCTAATCCCCTACTGCACTATCATAGTTTTGCTCGTTTGGAATGCCTGGCAGCCTTACCCAACCAGACAGGATGACTGGGTCACTGGGTGAGACATGTCTTCCTTTGCTTTTAGTCTCCTGTATTAAGTTCTTTGCTAGATTGCAATGGTGAGGGCCCTGCCTTCACTTGCCCTCTTGTTGCTCCTGCCTAGCTATGTAACATTCCCCTCTGAAGTAATAGGAACCCAAATCTTTGGGGACTTTGGGCTTAGGACTGCTGGATCAATAGGTGAGACAGATCTTCCTCCTCCCTGCCTTGGTTTGCTGTTACCCTACCTAACAACATCAGGGTTATAACAACAAAAAAAATACATCCCTCGCATGCTTTAAAGGTTCAGAATTCATCTTTATGCCTCGAATACCCTTCAGAGTAATTCTAAGACCTAAATTACAGGGTATTTTTAAACTTTTTATTAAACAAGTTCATAATAGCCCTGGCTATTGGTTAGAGCATTACCCCATAGACTGAAAGGTCATGGGCTCAATTCCTGGTCAGGGCATGTACCCAGGTTGTGGGTTCGATCCCCAGTCAGGGCACAAGGCATGTATGAGAAGGCAGCGTATCGATGTTTCTCTTTCCCCCACCTTGTCTCTCTAAATACAGTGGAAAAAAAAATGTCCTCAGGTGAGGATTAAACAAATTCATAACAAAAATTAGGAAATACAAGTAATAAAAAAGTTTTAAGGACCTGCAATTCCACCATCAGAGACTGTTAATGCTTATGTATAGATCCAAATTTCTCTTTATGCATATATTTTTCCTTCTCTTAAAGCAGACCCTTTAGCATCTATCCATTCAGCTCTTCTATGTCTTTTGATTCGAGCATTTACTCCATTTACGTTTAAAGTTATTACTGATAGGTACTTATTCATTGTCATTTTACTGCCTTTGTACCTGTGTTTCTCTCTTGCACGCGTGCATGCTTTTTTCCCCTTTTATTAAAGCAGACCCTTTTATTTTTCCTATAAATATATTTTTGGGGTCACATCATACATACCAAACTTGTCTTTTTCTTCATCAAATACTTGAGTGCTAATACAGGAGTAGGCAAAAGTAGGTTGACAGTTGTTCATATGGAAGAAGATACAGGTTGTGATGATTACAATAGCTATATTAATTCAAAAGAATGTCACAAGGGCACAGTGCACTCAAGTGTATAATCTCATAGTGCTCAGATTGCTGGCCTTCATTATTCACACATTCATGAGTCTACTTGCTATACTCAGGCACTTTAGCATAGAATTCTCTATAAGCTGACTCTTGCCCACCCCTGTATATTCTACATACTGAGGAATCCAGTGGAAAATCAGAAAGACAGGCCCTTGCTTTCATGATGCTTACCTTAAAATGGGGTGAACCATACCCTAAAATTAGGAAGTGCTAAATGTGAACTATGCCGAAAATAAAACGATGTGGGCAATTTTAGATGGGGTGCTGAAGGTGGGAGTCACTAAGGTGACATTTAAGTTATTCAGACTCAAAGGCCCATGCACAGGCTGCACAGGAACAGTGTGTTCTGCCATTGAGGCTGAAGTGGAGAAAATCTGGTGGTATGGAGGTTAGGGATCAAGCATAATGGGCCTTGTGGACACAAGTAAGGAATTGGATGTAAGCCTACTAGGAGTTCAGATCTGGAGTTTAAACATCAGTAAGGATACTCTGTGGAGAGGAGATCATAAGAATGGAAGAGGTGAAGAGGAAACATCAGGAAGCTATTACATAAGTCTGCAAGGGAGAAGAGGGAGGCTCAGACCAGAAATGCAAAGAAGGGGATATTTTGGGGGTATATACAAAGGGACAATAGGACTAGGTAACTGAATAGCAGTGCAGGGTGGGGGAAAGAGGAATCAAGGCTTACACTTAGGTTTTAAGCTTGAGAAGGTAAGTGGATGGGAGTAACAGGATTGATAGGAAAAATCAGGATTTCTATTCTGAGATGCCCAACAAATATTCAGGTAGGCAGTGGCATGAATGTAGAGCTCAGTGGTCAGGCAGCACTGCCGATAAAATTTTGGAGTAACTGGTCTCGTTCCACATGAGATCCATGAGGGCAAAAATGTTTTTAAAAAGCACATTTTAAAACATTTAAATTGAAGAATGAGATACATAAAAGCCCCCTGTTGTCTGGGTACATACAGCTAAATGAATTTTCAAACTGCAAACCCTGTTACCAATACCAAGATTGAGAAATGGAACATGACCTTCACCCCAGTAGCTAACTCCTGCTCCCCACCCCCAGTCACAACGCCTCACTCCCCCTCAAAAAGACAATGACTAGACTGACTTTTAACACTTATTTTTTAAAGATTGTATTTCTTTAGACAGAGGGCAAGGGAGGGAGAAAGAAACATCAATTGATTGCCTCTCACATGCCCCCAACTGGGGAGCTGGCCAGCAACCCAAGCATGTGCCCTGCTGACAGACTGGAACCAGTAACCTCTCGGTGTGTGGTGCAATGCCAAACCCACTGAATCACACCAGTCAGGGCTTAACAGATTATTTTTTCCAAGTTTTATCTATTATACAATGGAATCACACATTATTTATTGTTTTACATATGATTTCTTTCACACATTGTTAGTGATATTCATCCACATCCACATTGTTTATTCATATTTATTGTGAATATACACATCTTACTTATTCATTCTACTATTGAGGGGAATATGGGTAATTTTCATTATTTATTATAGTGATATGAATATTCAAAATATAGTCTCTTGATAAAAATATAATTTCTTAGTCATAAGATGTACATTCTACTCAACAGCAATTTTCCAAAGTAATTAACCCAACAGACACTTCCAGCATACAAGTGCCAGTTGCTTCACATCCTGGGAGCACAATGATTTTGTTTTGTTCCAGTGCCTAGAACAGTGCTACATTTTAACTTACACACCTGGTAGGTGCAACAAGTGTGCAATCAATTCTGTTTAAAGAACGAATTGGAACATAGATGGCATTTAAAGCTGTGGGCTTGAATTAAGATCATCTTGGAAGAAATAAGATTAGATAATAGGGCTGATGAATAAGCCTTCAGTGACTCCTACATTTAGATAACTGGCTAAAAAGGAGCAAGTAGAGGAGGAAGAAAATGGGAGCCCATGGGATTCTGCAAACCAAAAGAAATGTGTGTTTTAAGGGGGTACAGTTAACCACTTTGCTGCCGAGATCATAAAAAAGGGCAGAATGGGGGAAGAGTCAGGAGTTCTGTTTTTGGTCTGAATATTTCAAGTCTCAAGGGCTTAAGCTCTAAATTCAGATGGAGACCTTAAATGCGCATATGGATGTGGAAGTCTGGAGTTTAGAACCTGAAATGTAAGTTTGATATTTATGAGTATAAATTTATTTGTAAAAGAGAGAGTGTAAATGGATGATAGATGGGGACCCAGCCTTGAGGCATTTCCACTGAGAAGTTGAACAGAGGTAAACACCTGCAAAGCAGACTATGTGTATGGTTAAGTATATGGTAAGGTAGGAGAGAAGCCTGAAAAGTGCCCTGTCACTGAGGTAATGACAACATCGACTGTGTTAAATGTTGGTGAATTTCAACAAAATGAGAACAGAATAATAATCACTGCATTTAACTACTAATTAATAATTATGGCATCTATAATCACATCTATAACATCACTCTGACTGGCTGCAAAAAGTCCCACCGTATGGCGTACCAAAATCTACTCAATCAGTCCCACTGTTGAGTTCTTAGATTCTTCCCCAACCATTAGTCATAAAGTTGCCTTGAGCATTCTCTTAAGAGTTGAAATTGCTTAATTAAGGAAGTCTAAACATCTTGAAAGCTTTTTATACAGCTACCAAAGTACTCTCTGGAAAGGTTTTATTAAATTCTACCACCATCCCACAGAAATATAGTAATTGTAAAAAAAAAAAGTTTTTGCCATTTTGATAGGTGGTATGTAGTATAATTACACTTTTATTAATGAAGTCATATGTTTGTTGATCATTACTTATTAAGTGTGCCTATATCTCTTACCCCAAATGAGGGTTGTTACAGGCAAACTGTATGTTAAATATCCAGAAGACTGAAATATTCATTTAGTGCAGTGCAAAAAGCAAATAAACATAGGTATGAATCACAGCTTGTGAATACACTAGCTGTGTGTCCCTGGTCCGGTAACTTCTCAGGTTCTATCTTCTTGAATGTGCAATGGGGATCAGTTCTACCTTGAAGTGTTGTGAACAATGAAGTGATGTACAAAATGCTAGAAATTATGCCATTATTATAATAGCTATCCTAGTGCAAAAGTAACGGCGCCATGGCACAGTTATCTAAAAAACAGACTGTAGGGCAGTCGCTTGGTTTGAAGAAACGAAGATGCTATTTCTGTCATTTCCGCCATCCTACTCCAATTCCTGCCCCTCCTCCTAGGTGTTGGCGTCGCCGTGGCAACAAGCACGCGCTGCCCTAGGCAAAGTTCTCTGGCAGTTGGGGACCTCTGCCGCCTCACTTTCTGCTGGCCAGCGACTCCGCCGCGCGTCCCGTCCACCTCGCCTCAGATAAGATTTCCCTTGGCCTTAGGGCTAAAGGCCGAGGGGCAGCATGGCCAAAGCAGCAGCCTCTTCGCCGCTAGAGGACTTAGACCTGAGCGGAGAGGAGGTCCAGAGGCTCACCTCTGCCTTTCAGGACCCGGAGTTCCGGCGAATGTTCTCCCAGTACGCCGAGGAGCTCACGGACCCCGAGAACCGGAGGCGATACGAAGAGGAGATCACCGCGCTGGAGCGCGAGCGCGGAGTGGAGGTGCGGTTTGTGCACCCCGAGCCTGGCTACGTGCTACGCACCAGCCTGGACGGGGCGCGGCGCTGCTTCGTGAACGTGTGCAGCAACACACTGGTAAGCGCACCAACCAGCCGGCCAGGATCCGTGAAAGCGGCGGCCGGTAGCCAGTGGTCCCTGCCCTATAGCCTAGCGCCTGGCCGCGAGTACGCAGGGCGCCGCAGCACCCGCTACACGGTCTACGACGTGGTCTTTCACCCGGGCGCGCTCGCGCTGGCCCGGAGCCACGAGCGCTTTCGCCAGATGCTGGACGCCACGGCCCTGGAAGCCGTCGAGAAGCAGTTCGGGGTGAAGCTGGACCACAGAAATGCCAAGACGTTGAAGATCAAATACAAGGGGACGCCGGAAGCAGCTGTGCTGCGCACACCCTTGCCCGGGGGTGTCCCGGCCCGGCCCGAAGGGGAGCTGGAGAGCCCTCTCCCGGATTTTCCCTACCCTTACCGGGGCCTGGCAGCCGCCGGGAACTCTATCGGGCCCGAGCTCCGGGCTCCCTCCTCTCCAGAGGCGGTCCCGCAGCCTGCCCCCACCGAACCTCGCTACAGTGTGGTGCAGCGACACCACGTGGACCTCCAGGATTACCGCTGTTCCAGGGACTCGGCCCCCAGCCCCGTGCCTCAGGAGCTGGTGGTCACCATCGAGCTGCCGCTGTTGCGCTCCGCCGAGCAGGCGGCGCTGGAGGTGACGGGAAAGCTGCTGTGTCTGGACTCCAAGAAACCCGACTACCAGCTGCGGCTCTCGCTCCCGTACCCGGTGGACGACAGCCACGGGAAGGCGCAGTTCAACAAGACCCGGCGACAGCTGGTGGTCACGCTGCCCGTGGCGCAGTCCGCGGCGCGCCTGGAGCCCGCTACAGAGCCGGAAGACAGGGCCGACACTCCCGGAACTGCTGGCGCGACCTGCACTTCCGCTAGCGAGAGCCAGACGGGTCTATCAGGGGTTTGCGCAGGGGGCGAGGACGCGGCTCCCGGCAGAGCTGGGGCTGCAGACGACGGGATTGCCACTCCGGACTTCTCCTGGGAGGAGCAGGACTTCGGCGGGCGAGCGGTCTCGGCTAACGACTTCGGGGAAAACCCCATTCCAGGAACTGGAAGCTCACCTGGGGACGGTGGTAGAATCTCTCCTTGTATTTCAGCCGGGCACCTAGACAGAGGTGCTTCTGCAGGGGGAGGAAGTGTGTGTGGAGATCTCAGCGTTGACACCCGCGTGGCCCGGGAAGACACGGGCAGGGAGTCTTCTGATCCAGCCATGGATGGCCCCGGGACAGACAGCTGGGCACCTCTGTGTCCTCCTTTGCAGTGTAAACAGGATGAAGAATCCCTGACTCTGTTAATTCAAGTGCCTCGGATCCAGCCGCAAAGTCTTCAAGGGGATGTGAGCCCTCTCCGGTACAAACTGTGCTTCTCCACCCAAGACTTAGTTTATTATTCCTTCCTCTTGCAGTTTGCTCCAGAAAATAAATTGAGTAACAAAGAAGCAGTGGTTAGCATTTCTTCAAACAATGCAGTGATAGAACTGGCCAAATCTACAGGGTGCTATGGATATTGGAGAGAGTGGTATTATGGTTTAAACAACGATTCTTTAGAGGTAACAGTTCTTTATCGAGTTTTAATATTTGAAATATTCCATCCTACTTTTAAGATTTCTCCCACTCAAAGTATTTCCTATTGGAACTTCCCTCGAAATGTCTTGAAATTGATACACTTGATGAGAGATGTCAGTGCTTGTTAAACGAATATTGAAAAAAGAAACAAAACAAAATGCCCCAAAGCAAAAAACGGCATGCATCCCCTCTGATGGATGAGTTTCAAGTCTTCAAAATTGTTAGTGCATTTGCTTCCCTGGAGTCCATTGATTGACTGAGGAGGACATGAATAGATTCCGAGGATCCATAAATCTCTAAAACTATGCAAAAAGTTGAGGATAGTTACTTCTGGAGAGAAGGGCTATAACTTTAGTCATATTTTGAAATAGGTTGATGACACAAATAGGTTTGAGAGGCACTCTGTTAGGGCTATATTTTAAGTTGGTAAATAACATTGTCCGACTATAGAAAGTAATTAGTTTCTTCCAGAGAGCAAATGTCACTTAGCCACATTTCTTATGTAGGAAAATGAACTCAGAACCAGGTGTCAATCTAAATAAATCCCTTGCCCTTTCGACCATATAGTGCTGCTTCATTTTTAGTCGTTGATATTGGTGGGGTTGTCCTCAAGTGGGCATTTTGTTACATTAAAATTACGTCTTTTTGCCTCTGTTTTAATCTTTACATCCCTACTAGTATTTGGCACAATGGCTGGCATTTAACAAAGGGTAATGTAAACATGTTTTGAACTGTACAGCACCATTAGCTACACGTCTTATGGGCATATACTCTAGAGCTGAGCTGAGCATTACCTTACTTATTTAAGATACAATTTTGATAATATGCCTGTTGTAGCGGTTACTATACCTTTTGGGTTTTTTGAGGTTCTCAAATTTTAGATTCAATACTACAATATTATGGGCAAATACTGGAAAAAAAACCCTTAAAATTTGAAGTTGTAAAGAACTTTTGTAAACTCATAAATGAACAATTAATTAATGGTTTTGGCTGAGGTTTGTATCAGTGTTACATGTAAATTTTTAAAACTGGGTTTAATTCCCAGAAACAACATAAAGTGCACGAATTATACGTTAAAAATTAAGTTTTGGGTCTTGGGCTTTCACCTGCCAGAAATTTTCACTTCTTCCCCATTATTTTTCTAGAAATCTGCTAATAAGTTACATTTATTTTACGAGAGGTATCTTCTGTGAGAAGAGGTTAATTTGAAAGACTGCAAAAGTGGTAAAATAAGTAGCCAGGGCAGGGTAAAATACTTGGTGAAAATAGGAAATTGACTATTTATGTCATTAGAAGAGGGAAATTTAGGAAAGAGCAGTCATTTTCTTGTAATTGTCTTAATAAATGTGAAGGTAACTCACAATATGGGAAGAAAGCTTTGTGGACAAGCAGTAGAGAAAATAGTAAAGAATACATTTTAATCTGATTTACTACTATGCTAACATTAGTTTAGCAAAGAAACCAGAAAAAATGAGATTATGGCAACTGAGTTTTATATCTTTGATGCTTGCAATAGATTTAATATTTCTTAATCATCACGTTTGCTAAGGCTGATGAATCATAATGTTGTTTTTCTATTTACATTTCACTGTCACTGGACCAGGCTCTAAACATGATTTTTTTAAAAAAATCACAAAAGAATAGTGGGTGGATAGATAGATAATATATCGTGACTATATTGTTATATGCATTATATGAAAACAATTATAATGTGAAGAGACCAATTTGTGGCTGTGAAGTTCAGAATTGTTGCTTTACATATAAGTATAAAATGTATTTATATAAGCTTTAAATATTCACTGGGAATTTTCCTAATGGGTTACAACCACTGAATACAGTATCTTTTTTAAAAATCCTCATTTGAGGATATTTTTAATAATTTTAGAGAGAGAGGAAGAGGGAGAAAGAGAAAAAAGAAACATCGATTGGTTGCCTCTCCTGTGTGCTATGACTGGGGATTGTACCCGCAACCTTTTGGTCTTTGGGAGGATGCTCCAACCAACTGATCTAGGGCAATACAGTACCTTTATAGTAAAATCAGTCATTACATTGTGAAGACAATTTTATGCAAATTGTATTTCAATCGTAACCATTTCCATTATAAATACATATTATTTTTCCTTGGGTTAGCTAAAAACTAAACTATTTGGTGTATTTTCTTTTTAAAAATAGCTTTATTTATTTATTTATTTATTTATTTTTAGATACGGGAAGGAAAAGAGAGGGAAACATCAGTATGTGGTGTTCTGTCATCTGCCCCCTACTGGGGACCTGTCCTACAACCCAAGCATGTGTCCTGACCGGGAATCCAACTGTTGACCCTTTAGTTTGCAGGGCAGCACTCAATCCACTCAGCCACACCAGCCAGGGCTGGTGTATTTTCTTGTTTTTTCTTACATAATTAATATGACAGTCTTTTCCAGAGATAGGAAACTTAGAAATGTTTTTGATGGTTGTATTTTTATAATACAGTGTTATTCTGAATCTTCAAATAATAGCAAGGCAAATTACTCTAAAAGTAAAATTTTTCTGTTCCAAAGGTTCAACTTGTTTTGTAGGTGTTCCCAAGTTCAAACACTTTAATAGGAAAAAACTCAAAACTTGTCTTTTTCTGATTTCTTTCCCCTATTTGGACTAAATAATGGACTTTTTATTTGTAGTTATAAAATTTATTTATTTGAAAGTACAGAGGCAAATACTTTTAATTTGGGCAACAATGAACTGATTTCATGAATATGGTTGTTCCTTCAATGCCCTGTGTACCTGTATTCACTTAATGTGAATATGAACAAATTACTTTGTGTTGAGGGTTTTTGTGAATGTGATTTTTGCGTTTCCTAGTGGTTTGGAAATCTACCTCATTGTTATAAATAGCTATATGCTGGTGTCTCACACTGGATGGTCTCATTGCTTAAAAATAAAGTCAACTTCTTTTAAGTAAAGATATTACACTTGGCTCTTACCTGACCAAGAACCAAAAGACAAAATTTGAATGGATCCTGTCATGTATATTTCTTAGCTGACTCATTAGGAAGTGTTCTAAAATTGAAGTACATTTCATAGCTAGGACTGCATTTATAGCTCTAGAGGTGATGTTATTCTTATAAAATATTAAGAGAAGAAAAAGAAAAGAAAATATTTTTTGTAAGTAAGACTATCTAGGAGAGAAAACATACCTCAGATTTAACAGAGACCTAGAAAAGGAGCTAAACTTTTTCTTTTAGGGTCTTTCCCTATATGTATATGTACTCTGCTATTCCTATTGCTGTTCAAGACTGTCTTCTTTTGCCAGGATATAGGAAAAACATTAAACATTTTAAAAGTGTAATCCTGAATTATGTGAGAAGTTTTATGAGCTGTTTTTACATAAAACTTAAATATGACCTGTAAAACAGAATATATTTTTTCTTATTTTAGGAAAGGTTATTTGTAAATGAAGAAAATGTTAATGAATTTCTCGAAGACGTCCTGAGCTCTCCATTCCAACAGACAATGCCCCTAACCCCACCTTTAATTGAAGTCCTTCAGGTTACTGATAGCAAGATTCAAATTCAGGCAAAGGTAAGGATTTCAGTGGGCTTTGCAGAATAGTGACTTAGGACAAAGTTAAAGCCTAATGAATAACTTAATTCTTGATGCTATAATGTTAAGCTAAATGTATATAATGGCCAGAAAGAGGAATAAAGACTTTTTTACATGCATTTTACTATGTGCTAAACACTGCAGTTCATTTTTATATATATTATCTCATTTAACTCCAAAATAGCTGTCAAGTGAGGAATAGAGAAAAACTGACATTCGGGAAGTTAGTCCAGAGACAAAAAATCTTTTTGACTCTCAGACCATGTCATACAGTTAGTTCATTCTTTGTAGTTGAATCTTAAGTTTGGTTATTTTTACAGACTTCATTATTGAATGCAGAAATAATTTAACTAGCACAAATGGCATGTATTGGGGGAGAGTGGCTCTGAATAATCACAGTGATTCAAGAAAATTCAAGAAATTCAAGAATACCCTTGCAAGAATGATTGCTAAGCTCTGAGTGGGTAGCTCAGTTGGTTAGAGCATATCTGGATGCACCAATGTTGTGGATTCAGTCCCCTGTCAGGGCACATACAAGGGTTAACTAGTTAATGATAAATAAGTGGAACAACAAATCAATTTTTCTTTCTCTTGCCCTTCCTCTCTCAAGTAAATAAATAAATAAATAAATGAAGGGTTTGTAGGCCAGGATTTTTTTATCCTGAGGTAGATAAGGCATTGAAAGAATTTAATCAGGGAATTAATGCCAGGGTTGCATTGTTTGCAATGTCAATAAATGGCAGCATTTGGAGGATGACTTTGAGGAGGAAGTCTGTTTGCAAGTCTGCAAGGGTTGGTTATTCCCTCACACCTTTAATTTTTTCCAGATGATACTAAAATTTGATTTTGTTTGTTTCAAAGGATGATTAATTTGTTTCTCTTGACATAGTTGCAAAAATGTACTAAGTCTGAGCAGCTTCAAGAAAAGGAAGAAAGAGCCAATGAAGCAAGTCATCTAACTGAAAAAGAAAAAATAGAACATCCTACCACCTCAACAACAGATTCTGATTCATCTATAGCTGTTAAAGTACTAGAAATAGACAGTTGTGGTTCCGCTGAATACTTGCAACAAAAGTCTCTTGATATTTCCCAAGTGCTATTTGGAAAGTCGCAGCAATCTGAGTCAAAAATGGAACCTGAATTTATAAAAGAAAAAAGTGCTGTTGACTCAAATGAAAGGAAAGATAATTTAAAAGAACCAGTAATGACTGAAGAGAAAAAATTAACAGTTCACAATATACCTGGTTTTGACAACATAAAAGAAACCAATATGCAGGATGGTAGTGTGCAGATTATTAAAGATCATGTGACTCACTGTGCATTCAGTTTTCAGAATTCTTTGCTATATGACTTGGATTAATATAATTTTAGAATTTAAAGGTTAAGAGTTAAAAAATTTTGGACATAATAGAAATTCTATTTCTGTTAACCATTATCTTAAAACCAAAGGTTACTGAAGGAAGTATATTTTCGGTTTAAAATATATTCTCTGTTCATTCTCTTAAAACTGAAGATATTCAAAAAATTAAAATTTGCAATTTTGATTCTAATGGGAAAACTGGAGATATTTTGCATGTATAGAGTTTATATATAATTTCCTTAAGTTTTGTGATTCCTCTGATAGATGTATATTCTTTCTAAATGAGAAATATTTAGTTTTGTTACAACCTGTACATATTCTGTGTTGGTTTTGGCTTCTTTTGTTTACCATTAGTTTCAAAATATTCACTAAGTTGTGGCTGTCACAAAAAGTAATTCTCAAGAATGTAACTAGAAATCTAAGTGTTGAGGGGGCAGAATCTCAAAATTGTTTCAAAGTTTCACTAAATAGGATGTGTTTTTATGCTTGAAATATTGTTAGAGATGAAAGAACTTTACTAACCAGTAATAATAATTTGAACGATTATAATACAAATATGCTGAATGAAATTCAGTATTTTTGCTTCCACACTGTATTTTACTTTTCTCATCTGTCACACACACGCACACACTATATGTGCGTGTATATATATATATATATATATATATATATATATGTTTGTACACATATAAGACAAGTTATTTAGTAATTACTTTGAAAATTTAAAAATTTTAAAGCATTTTTTAGAAGTTATTGTTACATATTAAAACATCCCTTGGTTTTATAGAATACATAGGGTGAATTTTAGAACAGGAAAACTAAAAAAATCTGGGAATTTGCTCCCATGGGAAAATTATCATTATTATATTATTACATGAAGACAACGAAGTGTTTTCTAATTAACTTCCTTTATAACATCTAAAAGAAGGCAGTGGCAGATAATGTATCGTGGCTGTTAGTTTGTGGAATACTGTTTTTATTTGAGGCCAGAAGAATATCCTACTTAATTTTTTCCTCACAGAAATGTTTAGGACAGCATGAAATAAACCGTAGAAAGAAAAATATCTGTTAACCCAATCTCTAACCCCAAAGACCATGAGCTGAGGTATGTATTCCAAAAATAGCTACCAATTCAAACATCTGGCCTTACCTTAGTCCTGGAAATTACCTAATATTTTTAATCCTTTAAACTGAGGAGGTCATATTAGAGCACCAAAAGCTGGTACAAAGCCTGGCTACTCATCCTGATTTACATTTATAATCCTGATAAAATCTGGAACTAGACTGGATTAAGGGCAGTATAACTGTAGCTAGTTCATAAAACAAGAGATTTGCCCCATCTTAGATGACCAAATGCATTTTCAACCATAATATGATGGTTAATTTGCTGCAATAATTTTGAAACTACTTAATACACAATTTTCTTAGATTGAAATGACTGATTGTAATATCTACACCAAAATTAGTCTGAGTAATTTTTGGTTGAATGGAATTGTATACTGTTAAGAGAAATGTCTACGTTAAATGTGGAATAAATTTTAAGCCTGTTTCCTCCCATGTCCTTTTAAGAAGTATTTCAGTTAAAATAAAGCTGGCATTGTAACGTTGTACTTTGGCATGACTGAACTTTGTATTATTCCTGGCTATATTTCACTTACAGAGCAGCTTTTTATTGTTCATTATCTATGCCTGGCTAATTTGAAAGCCAGTTTCTTCCAAAGGGAATGCACTGTCAAGAGCTGAATTTTCTTTATTTCAGAATCAGTTATATAATGTACGAATAGTAAATATGAAGATGTAATACAAACTTTAAAACTTCTAAAATGCCTTCATTGAATTTTGGTGTAAAGAGTACATAAAATTTATTCTGCAAAATGATTAGGAACCTCTTTATGCAAAAATGATTATTTTATTTTGGCAGCACTAAAAGAAAAAAAAAACCCACTGTATTTCTACATTGAGGTGAAAACAGTGTTAAAATTTTCTTATCAAATACATTCCAAAAGAAAGTGTGTTCTACGAAGGTTCCAAAGCACAGGCAAATCTTAACACAATAATACAGGAATCTGTAATACTTATATTGACTCTGTTTTGACAGGGTGTTTAACAAACATAACTTTTGAATTATAAAACCAGTGAAGCAATCCTTTTCTAGTAACTGTGTGGAGTGAAACTGGGATTGTTCCATTAATACTTAACAATTTCATGGTAATACTTGTTACTACTATGACAACTTTAAATAAATTTGAAAATGGAAATGTATACCAAGTTCCAGGTAAAAAGATTAATAGATGCAATTTAAATAAAATTCCTCCTCTTCTCTCAGAGTAATGATTAGCTTTAGCAGATACACAGACTAAGCTTTAAAATCCAACTCCCAAAATTAAAACTTGTTTTAAATCTTTGATTAATCAGACATAAAGGAAAAAGATTACTATAATTGGACACATTTACAAGAATTTTTTTGTATTAAAGCAGAAACCCAAACCTTAAACTCTTTTATTCAACTGTCTGTCCTGTTGGGACAAATATCAAAAATAGAAGACTGTCACTTTTGCTTTTGTAATTGTGTTTTTCTTTTTCACTGCAGTCTTCTATAACTTTTACAGAGTTCATGGTCTCTAATATCTCCCCACCCTCCATTTTTCCTAGGTGGGGAAATCGCTGCCATGAACTTCTCACTGATACTTAGAGTTTCTGGAAACATGTACTGTTTGTTACTATTTAAGAGTGACTCAATTTGGGCACTCTGGGTTGATGGTCTACAGGTTTTCTTGTGGTGCATACCACAGTCTCCAGCGTGAAAAATCCTAGGTACCTGAGGAACTAGCACTTTCCAGAATTTTGGAAGACAAGATACAGTCAAATATTGAAGAGTCCAGTCCCAGTTATAATCATCATAAGTACAGAAAGTGTCTGTGCAGTCCATCAGTTTCTGATAGGCATCCCGGGTCAAGGCTAGACCCATATTGTGCTCTGTGGATTTCCAAGTTTTCACGTCTACCTTGTCAGCAATGCCAGAGAAACTTCGACTGGCAGTATAGGTTCCTAGGGAAAGAACATCACACTCAGGGCACTCTTGTTGCTTTAATTTCCACATCTTTTTGAAGACATGGTAAAAGTCTGGGGCTAAGTAGTGATCCTCCTCTAGGAAAAGTATGAGGCCAGCATAGTCTCGAAGAATTTTGACCCTTTCCCATACAAAATGCAGCTTCCACCACCAATGGTGTTTGGTTTGGGAGAACTTGGCCTCTCTATAATGGCCAAAGGAGTCAGGATACTCTGCATTAATGCATCCCATCTTCAAAGCTGCATTCTTCTCCAGATCTCTCGGGCAATCTCTAGGGTCACTGCCCGGAAACTCGTTGGGGTACAACTGAATGCTGAAAGGAAAGAACACTTGCAGAACAGGACAGAAATCCACAGCAGCGATCAGCTGATTGATCTCAGTCGACCAGAAGTCATGGCTAAAGATGACGAGGACATTGTCAATGCCCTGGGCTTTCCGAAGTGAGTCTAGCAGCAGTTTGAGGTAATCGGGCCGGTTATGTACCTGGACCACCAGCACCAGCTCTCGAGGGGCCCAGGAACCGGCCTTATCTACATTCCTCAGCGTCTGGTCAAAGTTCAGCTGGTACACCAGGGACCGGTACCGCAGCGTCAAGTTGTCCGCCTCGGGCGGGGCCACCGCGACCAGCGGGGCCGCTGACTCGTTGGAGACCCGACGGATGCCCATGGACACTGGGGGATGGTCCCCACCCCGACCACCAGCAGCACGCGCGGGCTCAGCGTCCAGCAGCGGCGGGGCGAGGGCCTCGTTCTTCCTTTGTCGCCCATTGCTGCTCCAGAGAACGAAGCCGCAGGCGGCCACTACTAACGTCAGGATCAGCACCTTCCGCTTGTAGATACGGAACCTCATGGTCTCCTGAGCCGGGAACGCTGGCAGGAGGGTGCGGAAAGGAGCTAGCGGCTTCTGCACGGAAGAGGCGGGTGGGCAGCTGTCGTCTCCTTGGCCTGTAGCAGTCGGAACTGGCCCGCGCGGCTGCCCTCGCTAACTCATCCCGGGCCCCAGAACTGCTGGGGCCCGAAGGCTCTCAGCTTCACCGTGCGGCCGGGGCTCGACACATCTTCGCCCGGCAGCTGCGGCTCCGGCAGCAGTCCCGCCGCTAGGAGCCGGGGCTCGTAGTCGCCTCGGTTCTCTCCATTCAGCACAAGTCTTGGAAGAAGCTCTGCGGCGGCCCCACCGTATCCCAGCTTCGTTACCTGCGCCTCCAGCGGCCCTGTATCCTCTGCGCTCTCATCTTTACGCCGGCCCCAGACCACCACCACCGAGCGACGCAGCCTCGCCCCACTTCGTCAGCGACCACTCTTGACAACCGGCTACTGGCTCTCCGCGCGCCGCGGCCCTAGGGCCCACACCCCTCGGGCCCGCCCCTTGGGCCGTTGGTTGGCGCTGCCACAGCTCGCGCAGAGGTGCCGTCCACCGCTGCCCACTGCCTATTGGCCCGTGGCACTGTCGCTCAAAGCTTGGTTCCAACTTCCGCCCGTTGCCTCCTCTTCCTGTCAGGCGGGAGCGGAGCGAGGCAAGAAGTGTGAACGCTGAGTTTCCAGGTAAGGTAAGATTGGGACTGTAGGGTTCCACACTGGAGCCTCCAGTGTCCAGAACCCTGCGGTAGAGTAGGCCCTGGTAGAGAAGGGTAGGCGAGACCCGCTGCTTTGGCTGGGTAGAGTTTAAGAACGGGCTTCTGCCTCAGGAAAGGGACTCACGCATGGCGCAGCTGGGCCGGGAGGTACTCGTTAAGGACACGTCAGCCTTCTGGGCGGCTGAGCGGTGATGGAGAACAGTGCGTGGGGGTGGGGGTGGGGAGTGAGTGAAACCAGACTCCTGCGGTTCTCGCAGAAGGAATGGGGGTGGGCTGTAGCAGTAGCTACTCCGTCACGCAGGGAACAGGGCATGTCTGGGATCTAGAACATCGGGGAAGTGAGTGCGGAGAGCAGTCGAAATGGAACTGGAACCTTGGCCCTCTCTGCCAAAGAAAATTAAACATCATTATGCTTTTCTTTTCAGAGCCACCGTTAATTAAGCTCCCACTTTGTACAGGGAACTCTGTGCTGCTCTTGCTGTTTTTCGTCTCATTCTAGCAATGCAATGATTTAAGCATTCCAAAAAGGTGTGCACGTGTATGCGTGTTTACTCACGGAAAATTAGTAGTTGGTGGATTTAAACACTACTGATGAATGTTATTTTCCTATAAATACTTGCATACTATTTTTCAAAATGTTTAACTGAAGTTTAAATATCTTACCACAGTTTTCCTTGTGTATACAGCTTTACTGCAAAGATGGTCAATGTGCCTAAAACCCGAAGGACTTTCTGTAAGAAGTGTGGAAAGCATCAGCCTCACAAAGTGACCCAGTATAAGAAGGGCAAGGATTCCCTGTATGCCCAGGGGAAAAGGCGCTATGATCGGAAGCAGAGTGGCTACGGTGGGCAGACCAAGCCGATTTTCCGGAAGAAGGCTAAAACCACAAAGAAGATTGTGCTGAGGCTTGAATGTGTTGAGCCTAACTGTAGATCCAAGAGGATGCTGGCCATTAAAAGATGCAAGCATTTTGAACTGGGAGGAGATAAGAAGAGAAAGGGCCAAGTGATCCAGTTCTAAGCTTTGGGATTCTGTTTTATTTTCGAAAGGAAGATGTTGAAGCAGTCGGAAAAATTACCTGTATGAAAATAAATGCAGTGATATTCTCACTCATATCTTTTGTTTTATTTATTTTTAAAATATAAGTAGAAGTGCATGCTTAATGTGGTTATAAATTAAGGAAACAAGAGTAAGTTATTTGTAAGTGAATCTCCTCAAATTATTAAACTTAGTTTCACAAGAATGAGAAATTTGCTTTTATATATGAATTTTACGTCAGCTATGGTATTTACATGGGGTGGCTTGTACATGAATAAGACAAAGGGCTAGGGTGTAGGAGTAACAGATGGTTAACACTTATTCCCAACATTTATATCTGCATTTTTTAAAAAAAATTTTCTATAACAAAAATCAGGTATGTACAAATTTTTTAAATATGCCATAAAACATGACTTTAAAGAGCCATGTTTTAATGTAGTTTTATATTTACAGGCAATCCCTCACTGATTTATGTGTTTAGAAAATCCTAAGATACTTAATTACAGAATTCTTGGTTTTAGAGACCAAAGTGAATTAACTCTAGAAGGTAGTACAATGCCTGGACCTAAAGCCTCTGATATGGTCCATGGTATCCCTAACAGGGTGATTTGTAATTATTGAGTAAAATACTCTATAAATAAACACCTGGAACAAAGTCGGTACCAGATAAATCACTGCTCCCTTTATTTAAGGCATGTTTGCATTATATATAATTTTTTTAAATAAAAATCTAGAAATAATACAAGGATTTTACAGGAAGAATTTAATCACTAGCAATATAAATTTAACATTGTCCAAGGAATCATTCCTTTGGACCAATGCCTTGCCTCCATCAGCTTGGAGAAAAACTGTTCTGGAGCTCATGTACATAAAGTTTTAATAAAAATTTAAAATAGTATCTGTTCAAGAATATTTGTATTTTCTGGGAAAAAATGCCCCAAATAAATACCTTAGGAAGACAGGTTACTTCAGTTGTAAGAAATAGTCTTGTATACGAGGGGGATCCCCCCAAAAACCGGTATTTATAAAAAATTGTGTATCCTCACATGTTTAAACTTTGGTCCCCTACAAAGTACTCTCCATTTGATGCAATATACCTATCGAGATGTTTTTTCCACTGCTCAAAAGTCTTTGAGCATATTGATTTTGATGAATTTTAGTGCTTCTGCAGTTTTTTGTTTCACCTCTCCCACACTGGTAAAATGTTTCCTATGGAGGACTTTTTTCATTCAGGGAAACAAAAAAGTTGCCTAGGGTGAGATGGGGTAAATAGAAAGGGTAGGGCATGGGGGTCATGCCATTTTTGGTCAAAAACTGCTGAATACTCATCTTCGTGTGGGCAAGTGTCCCCCAAAGTCACACATCATGAAATGGACAGCTAGGTTGAGAGTCTTCCAAAAAAAAAAAAAATTCACTGAAGCTGAATGCAGCTTACTATAACACCACCAGCTGGTACAGATGGGTTCCTAGAACTCTAACCTAGTGGGGGAAGCCTGTACTACAAGGAGCCTGACCGCCCAGAAGATAACTCCAGGTTTTCTTGGGGTCCCCCTCAGAATACACCTCTAATTAGAAGCCCAAAGTGGCAATAATATGTAAATGCTGGAGGAGGTTTTCTCCAGGAACTTTTTACCCTCCTTTGTTCTGAGAAACCAGTTATGAGTCTATTAGTGATCTAAGAGAGAGGCTGATTTGAAGGGTAGTGGGAATGAACAGAAGGAACTGATTCCATTTTACATGACTTTGAAGTTTGTTACTTTTCTACTTCCTCTGCCCTAGTTCAAATTCTCATCCTTTGTTGGTGTATTGCCACCACTTTTTAAATTAAAAAACTTAATAGAAAAAGAACCCTCATAATACAGAATGTCAGTAAAATGGAACCATTTTCTGTTCCTCTCACCCAACTAAAACCTTGTTCAACTGCCCCCCCCAAAAACCTTAGAACTATAAAGATTGTGTGATTGACATTATAAAACTTATAAAAGTTTAAGTCTTTCCCAAAGCAACTCCTACTTTATGCTTGATGGATATAAAATTCCATCTGTAGATTAATACAGATAAAAAACAAAAGGTAGTATGCTTAAAAACAAAATTTCATACCAAAAGGTTTTCCCTATAATTTACACCACATTAGTTCTCCAAGGAATATATTCTGCATTTATAATCTCAATTTCTTGACTTGAAATGGAAAATAACTTAGTAGGAAAATTCTATGACTGAAGTGACTGAGATGACTATATGCTTAACATTAAAAGATAACCCCACAACCCATGCCAGAAACACTAAACTAAAATCAACACAAAATACAAAAAACTGATGAGTTCACCCCATAATAAAGTTAATTAAGTTTTAATGAAATTAAGACTTTACAGTTACATTACTGAAAATGTTAAGTGTAATACCCATTCTTGCCCTCAAGCATGTATACAAAAAAGCTTCCCTTTCTCCAACTTTGTTAAACCATAAATGAATCCCAAACTGATCTGTAACAGAATTTCTTTTTGTGGTATCATCTATTATTTGAACATATCACAGGAATTTACATAACAGGATAGAGAACAGAAGTAAGAGAGAACAGGTGCTTCAGTGCCACCCATATTATCTACTAAGACCACAGTGTGAGCAACTGAGTGTAGATTCATGGTCGTTGTTCCCTGAATAAAACAGTTCAGACAAAATCTTCCACAAACACAGGTTTTTGCAGTATCCAAATCTTGGCAAAGGTGGAAAGGAATGATATGAGAGCCATATGGAATCCTATTGGAGAAAAAATGTTTAAAAATATTTTTAAAATGTATTTGTATATGAATTATTGAGCACTAAATTATAACCACAAAAAGATTACTCTATTAATTAAATAACTCAGTATATTGTTTTATCTTACAAACTGGGTAATGGGGAAAATATTCCAAAAAAATGATATTCTAAACTATAATTTATTGTAAACTGAAGAGGAGCTATACCACTCCATACAGTATCTTTTAGCACTGCCACTTAATAGTATAATCCATTGAATAGAATGAGTTATCTGTCCTTTATATAGCTATACTGTATGAACAGTGTAACACGGTAAGTTAAATCTATAGCTCTGTCATACAATTCTCATGATGGTAATGGGAGTACTAAGGAATTCTACCTGTGAAGAAACATTTCAATAAATCCATATACCATACTCTCCTAGGCATCAATTATTCAAAAGGGAATTTTAAACTGTGTAAAACATTTAAAACACGTTGTTTGGGGACTTAGTTTTGTTTTACTTGCTAAGCAAGTAAGTCTGCCTCACCTTGCTTTAATCATTCACCCTCCTGCATAAAACTTGAGTGGCATCCAATGCAATTAAAACCAAGTCTAAGTGCTCGCTCTCATCTACACAAAACTAAGACACAGTCTCTTGAGATGGCCTGCCCACTGCCCAACTCCTTCCCCCTAAACACAACCATGCTCTGGGCACTTAGTCTCCCTTACAGAGCTGTTTCTATAGTACCTAGCCCAGGCTGGCACATAATAGGTGTTTAGACCTTTTTCAGCAAATAAATAAAACCAACTCAGAGTTTAAAACCCTTTTTAAAAAGTCTGAAAAGATACACATCAAATCAGAAATAGTGGTTTACTTTTTGTAAGGGATTTGGAATTGACCTTGCTTACAATTTTTCATTTTTTTCACATGTACTAATTCATTACCTGTGTAAGTTAAAAACTGTGCCAACTGTTTCATTAAGTTTTAATGAAATTAAGACTTTACAGTTACATTACTGAAAATGTTAAGTGTAATACCCATTCTTGCCTACTAAGTGTCTACTGCATATTTACATTAATCTCTTCCAGCTATCTGTTATAGTCTAAGGAAACAGGTAACAACTGTGACATAATTTAAAAACTGTGACATAATTTAAATTTCCACATATTTTTCTAATACATCATAACTTTGTAACTAGTAGTTAAAACAATTTACCAACAGATAGATAATAGGTATTATTCTCATGGCTTTGGGTTTATATCCTTTTTAAAAGAGGGCTGAAAACATGCAAAAATTATACTTTAGTAAAGGTTAGTGAAACATGCAAAATTATATTTTAGTAAGATTAATAGAGATCAAGTTTAAAAAATAAAACACTACAATGCTCAATCATTCAGCACTAATAAATTATTTTTCTGCTCTATTACATCATATTTTGTTTTTTAAATTATATTTTGTTTATGCTATTACAGCTGTCCCAATTTTTCTCCTTTGAGCACCACATCTCCTGCCCCAACTCTCACAGGCAATCTCCACATCATTGCTCATGTCCATAGGTCCTGCATATAAACTCTACTCCCGATTCTGTATATTACATCCCCATGACTATTCTGTAACTACCAATTTTTACTTCTTAATCCTGTCACCTTTCTCGCCCATCTACCCTACTTCCATCCCATCTAGTGACCATCAAAATGCTCTGTGTATCTATGATTCTGTTCTGCTTGTTCCTTTATTTTGTTTTTTAGATTCAATTATTGATAGATATGTATTTATTGCCATTTTATTGTTCTTATTTTTGATTTTCTTCTTCTTTTTAAAGAAGACCCTTTAACATTTCATGTAATACTGGTTTGGTGATGATTAATTCCTTGACCAGAAGTCTACATCACATTTTGATCATTTATTTTTTTCCTTCCAACTCTGCACTTTTCCATGGTGGATGTTAGTCTGTATTTTTTTTTCCTTAAACATCTAGCCAGCTGGTTATGGTCTTTAAGAAAAAAATCAGAAATCATATGTAATATTTCTCAGTTGGATATAACTTACTTTCTTTTTTTTTAAAGATTTTATTTATTTATTTTTAGAGAGGGGAAGGGAGGGAGAAGAGAGGTAGAGAAACATGGATGTGCAAGAGATAAATTGTTTGTCTCTTGCACGCCCCCAACTGGGGACCTGGCCCACAACCCAGGCATGTGCCCTGACTGGGAATCAAGGATCTTTTGGTTCACAGGCCAGCACTCAATCCATTGAGCCACATCAGCCAGGACCTGAAAATAATTTTCAAACTTGAATATTTCAGAGAAAGCCTAGAACAAGCTCAGGAGCAACTCATTACCAAAAGATACCATTTAGAGTTTCCTCAGATCAGTGGTCTTAACCCTGAATCATCAGTATCACCTCTGGAAATTAAAATATGTAACATACAATAGGGGCCCATCTCTGGCAACTCTGAACTAGTTAGTCTGAGGTAGAAACTAAGCATCTATATTTCTCATCTATATTATTAAAAAGCTCTTCCACAGCTAATGATAACACTGATTTTTAACTGCCAGTTAAGTAAATGACATGTATTTATTATAATAAGTATATGTAAATATTAAATATTTGAGACCTATTATAAGCCAGGCACTGTTCTAGGCACTTACATGTATTGTTATTTAGCTGGTAATTTTTAATTCTTACTTAAGAGTCAGTGCCTTAAACCAGTGGTTCTCAAAGTGTGGTCTCTGAACAGCTGTATCAGCAGCTCCTTAGAACAGGGGTGTCAAACTCATCTTCACCGGGGGCCACATCAGCCTCATGGTTGCCTTCAAAGGGCCAAAATAATTTTAGGACTGTATAAATGTAACTACTCTTCAACTGTTAAGGAGTTGAAATTACACTCAGCCCTTTGAAGGCAACCTCGAGGCTAATGTGGCCCCCGGAGAAAATGAGTTTGACACCCCTGCCTTAAAACTACTAGTTAAGAGATGCGATTTCTTCAGCCCCACTCCAACATAGTGAAAAAGAATCCAGCAATCTGCTTTAATAACCACTTATTTCAATAAGTGTGATTCTGATGCACTCTCAAATTTTAAGAATCACTGTCTTAAGAATAGTATGAGTCCTTAGTTACTTTTAGAGCCTTTAGTAATCAAAGTGTGATTCAGGCTTAGTAGCCTCAGCCTCACCAGAAAGCTTGTTTGAAATGCAGGATTTCCACCCTAGACCTCTGAAACAATCTAACAAGACTCTCAGGTGATTTGAATGCATATTAAAGTATGAAAAGCACTGGTGTGAATTAGTGGTTCTTAATCATAGCTAGCTCTACAGAATCACCTGGGTTTTAAATACTGGCTCCCACTCTCAGACATTCTGATTTAATAAGTCCAGGTTGGGAACTAGTTGTTGAATTTTTAAAAGCTCCTCAGGTAATTCCAAATGTGAAGTAAAGTTTGAGAACCACTGCTTTAAAATAAGAATTCTTAAGCTATGAATAGTGAGAAGGGAGGATTGGACTGGATTTCAGTTTGGTCCATGAACATTATAAAGTTGTATGGAAAATTCTGTGTATGTACTCATGTGTGTATTTTTCTAGGCCCATAATTTTGATCAGTTGTTTTTATTTATTTTTAAAGATTTTATTTATTTTTAGACAGAGGGGAATGGAGGGAGAAAGAAAGGGAGTGAAACATCAATGTGTGGTTGCCTCTGCTGTGCCCCTTACTGGGGACCTGGCCTGCAACCCAGGCATGTGCCCTAACTGGGAATCGAACCAGGACCCTTTGGCTTGCAGGCTGGTGCTCAATCCACTGAGCCACACCAGCCAGGGCAGTTGCTTTCATTTTTAAAGAGCTTCTATCCTGCCAAAAAAAGTTATGAATCTCTTCTTTGAAATATGGCATTGCTACTATTTTACATGCACTCAATAATGAAAGAAGCATGAACAAAAATGAGTACCTGGAGTTCAGCATCTCAGGAAATCAACTTCAGTTAGTGCCCAAAGACAAAGGAAAGGGAGCCAATAGCTATTGAGTCCTACTATATACCAAATGCTTTGGTATTACATTAGCTCAATATCTTCACAACTCTGTTTCACAGATGAGAACATTGAATCAAAGAGGTTAAATAACTTGCTAAAGCCATGTTAAGGGGCGAAGCCAGGAATCAAACCCATGTCTGACTCCAAAGATCATAATTAACCACACAATGCCATATTGGAGTTCTCAAATGTAAAGTGCATTAGAACTACCCTGAGGGATTTATCAACACATGGATAACCGTCCTCACCCTCAGAGTTTCTGATTCAGTAGCTCTGGGGTGGAGTTCAAGAACTTGCATCTCTAGCAAGTTCTTAGGTGATCCTGATGCTTCTGGTCAGGAGACCATAGTTTGAAAAACAATGCCATTCAGGCCATCATAAACAAAGCAACAAAGTGTTGGAGAGGTTGTGGAGAAAAGGGAACCCTAGTGCACTGTTGGTGGGAATGCAGACTGGTGCAGCCACTGTGGAAAACAGTATGGAATTTCCTCAGAAAACTAAAAATGGATCTGCCTTTTGACCCAGCAATTCTACTGCTAGGGTTGTATTCTAAGAACCCTGAAACACCAATTCAAAAGAACCTATGCACCCCAATGTTCATAGCAGCACAATTTACAATAGCCAAGTGCTGGAAGCAACCTAGGTGCCCATTAGTAAATGAATGGATCAAAAAACTATGGTACATTTACACAACGGAATTGTAGGCAGCAGAAAGAAAGAAGGAGCTCCTACCCTTTGGGACAGCATGGATGGAACTGGAAAGCATAATGCTAAGGAAAATAAGCCAGGTGGTAAAAGACAAGCACCATATGATCTCACCTTTAACAGGAACCTAATCAACAAACAAACAAATAAGCAAAATATAACCAAAGACGCTGAAATTGAGAACGGCTGACAGTGACCAGAGGGGCGAGGGGAGGAAATTTCAGGGGAGAAGGATGAGTGGTTTGCAGGAACAAGTATAAAGGACACATGGACAATAACGGGCTGGGCTGGGCTGGGGGTAAAAGGCAGAAAACTGTACTTGAACAACAATTAAATAAAAATAAGAGAAAGAAAAAGAAAAACAATGCCATTCATTCACTCAAGTAGTTAATAATGCTTAACATATGGCAAGAGCTGGAGATACCACATTTTGGACACTAGAGAAATAGTGGAGAATAAGACAAAGTCCATGCCTTCATGGATCTTAGTCTAGTGGGGGAAAGTGACAGAGCACAAATGCTGAAAAAAATATAATGCCAGGTAATACAGAGCAAAAAAAAAAAAAAGGCAATGTAAGGGAGCAGGGGATAAAACTTTAGATAGGTATTCAGGAAAGACCTTTCTGGGTGCCTCTTGGGCAGGAAGCTGAATGAAGTGAGAAAGTGAGCTATGAGACTTTCTGGAGGAAAAGCATTCCAAGCAGTGGTAAGGAGCAGCAAAAAGGTCACCATAGCCAGGGGTCAGATTATGCACAGCATCGTAAGCTATGGTTAAAGACTTACTGTTAGTCTGAGGATGATGAGAACACTAGGATGCTATCAAAAGTACCACATTTTATGACTATTTAAGTCTTACCTATTATATAATATGGTTCGTGCAGAAGATTCCAATAAAGTTAATGGTGTTTGCAGCATTATAACTGGAAGAACTTCTGGTTGTTCAAAAGTATTTCCATAAAGATCCAAGTACTCAAGAGATAAATTTTTAAATTCACAAGGCAAAAATGGAAGCTTATTTCGAGCTGCTGACAAAAATCGCAGGTTTGTCAATTGTCCTATCTTGAAAGGCAATCGAATCAATTCATTATCATCAAGTTTTAAATCTGTAAGTTCCCAAAGCTGACAAAACTGCACAGGGAGTGCCTTAATTTTGTTCTTGCTGAGATCCAAACTCCGAAGTGATTTCTGGAGTGTAGATTGACACAATGCTACAGTAAATGACTCCAAGTGATTGTCATTCAGGTTAAGTTCTTGTAGGTGGATGAGGTCTCCAATTGTAGCTGGAAGCTTTTTTATATGGTTGTGACTCAAGTCTAATTTCTTAAGGTTTTTTAAGCAAAGCATACGCATATCAACTCGGACAAGACCACAATAAGAAGCCTGAAGATGTTCCAGATAATATGGGAAGTTCTTGCTTAAAGGATAGTCCTTTTTGGAAGTGATAACCATTTTAGTTTTGAATTTTTCAAATTCTGAAGTCTTCACTGGTTCGAGGGGTGAAAGTGGTGTCTCAACATCACAGCCTCTATGAACCAGTCTCAAGGCTGAAAGGAAACTCTTTAAACTGCTGGAATTGGCCTAAATAAATAAAAGTTGTACAATTATAAATTCTATTTTAGATAATATATGCATACTAATTCATCATATGACAACTTCTATAGTTATATATGCAAATGATACAATCATTTATTGAAAATAGCTGTAAAAAATAAATTTTTAGTATTCTATTCCAACTAAATTTCACTATAGACACAAAAAAATGTTAAAAGTTTAAAAAAATGTTGACATACTCTACATAAAATTGTTCAAAGGAGGGAACCATAAGATATAAAATAAGATAGGAAGGCATGAAAAGATTCCACTTGAGATTTGGGTTTAAGATGAACGCACACAAACCTCCAGGGCCTCTGAAATAGGCTGAGACAGCCCTGTGCACTGTAAAATGTACAGGAGTGCCATTCGTAAAGATTAGGAATTGGGAAATTCATGGCCTGTCTGTCAAAAGCAAGTAAGTTTGCTTTCAGCTGAAGAGAGAAATCACTAATCAAGTGGTATGTGAAATAAGTCATCAATAAAAATCACTAATACTTGGTGGGATACTTTAGGAGTTTCCTAAAGTTCACATGTGTAAAAATAGTGAACTTTTAGCAAGTGTGGGAAATGAAGTGTGTGATCCTATTTGGTTGGAATGTGGGAGGTTTGCAGAGTAAAAGATTAGAAATACAGCTTGGGGATAGATTATACATGAGTTTGATGTTAAGGTAAGGAAGACAGAATGATCAGGCTGAGGGAAATCACTGAAGAATTTTGAGCATGAGAATTATATAAAATCTAAGTATTATTCTGGCAGCAGTATATACAGTGAAGTGGAGTAAGGAAAATCTGGAGACCTGGATCAAGTAGGTCCAAAAGAGCGTACCAACTTGGGAGTTACACACAATAAGGGTTGAACTACAGGAATGGAAGGCAGGTATGGCAGAGAACTAGAATAAAGCCTTTATTTGGGGGATAGAAAAAAGGTTGCCAGAGATAGGAAGCAAAGGAATGACTGCAAAAACCCAAGGTAAATCAGGATAGTGCCCTGTCACAAATGGCAAGAAAGGAAAGTTTTATTAAAAAGAGAGTGGCCACCAGTGTCAAATTCTACAGAGCTCAAAAAAAGATAAAAAAAAATGGTAATGTGATTGGCAAGTACAAAGGAAATCACTGACCTTTCAGGCAGTGTTTTGAATATACTAGTGAAAGTAAAGGTCATAGAGTAGAGGCACTGGATGTAGTCTGTCTTTCCAGAAATTTGTTTTTTTTCTATTTTTTTAATTGTTAAGACCTTAGTTTGTTTTTAGGTAGAAAGAAAGGAGTTAGTGGAAGGACAGGCTAAACATCAAGAGAAAACTAAAAATCACAAGAACAGGAGGAGGTATGACTAAATGATTCCATTCAATACAAATACTTCAAAAAGTTATTAAACTTTTAATTTTTGCAAAAACACTTTGCTTGGGGTTAAGGGTAATGCAAGGATGAACAAGACATTACTCCTATTCTCTAGGAAGGGGAAAAACAAATAAGGGGAGATAGGGCAAAAAAATTTTTTTATTCTAATGGTTTATTTTTTTTTAAAGATTTTATTTATTTATTTTTAGAGAGGGAAGGGAGGGAGAAAGAGAGAGAGAGAAAAACATCAATGTGCGGTTGCTGGGGGCCATGGCCTGCAACCCAGGTATGTGGCCTGACTGGGAATCTTACTGACCTGCGACACTTTGGTTCGCAGCCCGCTCTCAATCCACTGAGCTATGCCAGCCTGGGCTTCTAATGGTTTATTTTTTAAAATAATTATAGTAAATAAAATACTCCTAAACAAGATTCTAATTGCATTTTATCAATTTTTTACACTAAACTTAGATTTGTAGCATGTAATTCAGCTGGCAAAATGTAGACTTGGACCACCTGCCTTAGAGTTCCAGTGTTAAGAACAGCCTAAGGCTCCACTTTGGGTACAGAAGCAAACCTAGTTTTCCTCCCCATCCTGGGCAGCTTTACCATAGCTGACTCTGCCGTTTGAAGCTATATAAGCACACCTGAGAAGCTGCCATCACTTCTTCTTTTTTAAAAAAACTATTTTAGTGTTACTTTGGAAACCACTTTATCTGCCCTTTAATTCTAAATGATAACTTTGCTAGATAGAGTAATCTAGGTTGTAGGTCCTTGCTTTTCATCACTTTGAATACTTCTTGCTAGCCCCCTCTAGCTTGCAAAGTTTCTTTTGAGAATCAGCTGATAGTTTTATGGGAACTCTTTTGTAGGTAACTATCTGCTTTTCTCTTGCTGTTTTAAGATTCTCTATCTTTAACCTTTGGCATTTTAATTATGATGTCTTGTGGTTGCCATGACTTCTTCAAACACATCTGTGTGATTCTATCCCTATTCAACTATGTGAGATATTAGGATACTCAAATAGCTTATTTAAAAAAAAACAGAGCCAACCTACCCATTAATGTTTTTAATATCATACCTTACTTAGACAGATATCCACAGGAGGCTCCTTTAACCGAACAGTGGCTTTCCCCTCTTCCACAAATTTGGTGAAGAACTGCTCAATGTTCTCCTTTAGCTGCTTAAAACCAATGGAAAAAAAGAACAAAATGAAGTATTATTTAATATTTAATTACAACTAGAATGTGCCAGTCACTTTGCCAGGTGTTGGTTTGTCTTTTAGTCCTCAAGGCTGTATGTTTTGTGGTTTTAAGTTTTAAAGTTTTCTGTTTGGTTGAGTTTGTTTTTAGCAGATGGGTAGCTACATTTCTTATGTACCTTCTGTCAGATACTATTTTTCTATCTGCCCAGTTAACACTTTCTGCTTCTCAGAATAGAATTCTCCTGTTTTGGGAGAATTTTCCTTTTGTCCCATTCCACCTATGTGGCTGTAGTGAGCTGTCAATAGTAGTTACTTGCCTTTTTAATTTTAGTCCATCAGTCTGGATTGGGCATGCCTCCCACAAGATTACAAACTCCATGAAAACAGTAATTTTGTCTCCTTTGTCAATCATGTCAAAGAATGTCAAATCAGTCATACCTCTAGCGCCAAACAGTGACTGACACATAAAAGGGGCTCAAAAAATTTTAATGATTGATGTTTCTGCTTTAGACTTCAACAATTTATCGAGAAGCCGTTATGTACCAATTAACTATGATAGGGGGTTTGGGACAATAGTGGTGAATAAGACCAGCATGGTAATCACACAGTTGCCAATCTGATGAGAGACAGTTATTAAAGTAATTATGAGCATAACAACTATTAAGACAAGAAGTAGAGGTTGCTTTAAAACCTTATATAGCAAAGAAATCTTACCTGGTCATGAGATATGAAGGTGACTTTAAAGGTGAGAGCTAAAGGATTAGGACATATTGGCCAAGTGAAGAAATTACAAGAAAAGACAGCATACTAACAAAAGGGAACAATGTGTGCAAAGCCTTGAAAGCAACAAAGCTTGGCAGCTGTGAGGAGCTGAAAGAAGTTCAGTATGGCTGAAGGATCCATTGAAAAGAGGTGAGCTTGAAAAGGTAAATGAAGATTGGATGGTGAAACAGTTTGTAAAACATGTTAAGAATTTTGGATTTTATGCTAAGAACAATGACATCCACTGAATGACTTTAAGCTGTGGGGACATGGTTAGATCTACATTTTTACAAGTTCCCTTTAACCGTGGTGTAAGAATGAACTCTGGGGGAGGAAGCATAGGATGAGGGAAGGACAACGGTAGAGAGGTCCTTGAAGAAACTCTCCAGGCAAGGAACAATGATGGTTTAGACTACAGCTGGGATGGATGAAAATTTGAAAGATAGCCAGGATGTAGAATTTAAAGGATTCAATAATATACTAGATGTGTGGAGGCAGAGGCTTTAAGGCTTCAAGGCTTCAGGATGGGGCAAATCACTACTTAATGAATTTGACAGTCAGAAAAGCAGGTTTAGGGGTGACAAAGACAATTAATTTTTAGGTTGAAATGCTGTGACACATCCAAGTGAAGATTTCCAGTAGATAGCAATTCAAATGAGAAGGGATTTACACATTTATCAGATGAAAAATGTTTCTCACTGCTCTTCTATGATCTGTTCCCTCTGATGACCACCACTTTGCTGCCCTCCACCAATGTATCATGCAGATTTAGAAAGTCAGATGTGAGTCATGACTATTTTTGTGAGGAAAAAAAAAGCTAAATGTTCAGCATTTTCTAAAGTGAAGAAGTGGTATGAAAAAAGTGTGACAGTGGCACGAAACATCACACACCCAACTCGAAGATACAGTTGTTCTCCCTTATCCAAAGGAGAAACACAGTCCAAGACCCCCAGTGGAAGCCTGAAACCACAGAGAATGGCAAACTCTATATATACTGTGTTTTTTCCTGTGCATACATACCTATGATAAAGTTTAAATTCTAAATTAGAAACAGTAAGAGACAAAAAGGGATAAGGCTGGCTAAAGATACAGATTTGGAAATCAGTCAGACGAGAGCTGAAGTCATGGGACAGAAAAGTAAGTGTGCAAAAGAGGTCCAAGGTACTTCTCATATTTGGCACTAATGCCTATTCTTCAAGGCCCGGCTTAATTCATCCAACAAATGTTTACGAAGCACCCACTATTTTCCAAGCCCTGTGCACCACCTCTTCTACAAAACTTTCTCAAGGCTCTGTAATCAGAATTCTCGTTTTTGATAATGTACTTCACTTCCACTTTTATTATAGCACTTATCATAGCCTGTCTTATATTCTAAGTAGTGGTTTCTGTTTCTCCCTTTCTAGCCTCAGAAGGACAGCGACCAAGTCAACTTTATCTCCTAGTTTCGAGCACTGCACCTTGTGCACAGGTAAGTCTTCAGCTAACAGTTTACAATAAAATTTTTATTAGGATTACCACATGGAATTGACTATTAGTGCAGTAGGAGTTTTAAGAGGGACATCATTAGAGACTTTTTAAATAGGCAGGACATGAGCTGGGTATTAAAGAGACAGGTTTGCAGGGAAGACAAGAAGGGATAAAGGGGAAATCCAATTCTAGTTATGAGTTTGCTTTTGTCACCTAATAGTTTTGTAACCTTTACAATGTTGGGTAATAGTTTTCAATTTGAAAAACTATATGAATTGATTCTATCAATAGAAGAAAATTATTTAGACTCTCAACTACTTGCATGAAACACTAAGTGTCCCTGAAAGAGATGGTAATGCCTTCTTTCCCCAACTAAGTACTGTATTCACTGCGGAGTACAACACTGAGAGGGAAATAATGCCAGAGATTGTATAAAATCCAGTCAAGAGTCAGATGCAAGGGTGGGCAAATTGCCCACTCAACTTTATTTATAGACATAGGGTAGTCCAGTCATTTTGACAATATAACGGTGTCTGGTAATGAAGGGGTAAAGATTTTATGAAACCTGTGCTTTAAAAATTCTATTTCAAATGGGAAAAAACGCAATTAAAAAAATAAAAATTCTGTTTCAGCTTCCAAGTGTTTCTAGAGAGTTTGCTACTTACTGCTAGCAGATAAGAAAAAGTCCTAGACTTAAGAAACCAGTTGTTAGGAAATTACACATTTCAGCAAACAAAAAAGGAGATGCAGTAACCTGTAACGTTAATGAAAATATCAAGATGTAGACCCAAACGTTACCGCTTCACTGTACTGTTCATCATCCCTTAAAGCCTTAAAAAAAAAAAAAAGCTACCGAAAATTCTGTGGGAGGGACAGAATTTATTGAATGAAAGTGCACTTATTTTACTGTTCACCCAAACTAGGTGGCTACCTGTCAATTCAAAGGCGCAGAAATGAGCACGAGAAATAAGCAGAGGTGCACTCTCAAAAGCTCTCCTTTATCGGGCCCGTGGGAGAAGCCCCGGAAACCAGTGCAGTGGTAGGACTCTGGGACCGGGCGCTCACGAACCCCCAGGACGAGCTCCAGCTCCGGAGATGGCCCGGGGCGTGAGGCCCGAGGCGGCCCGCCTCTCGACTCCTGGGCAGTGCTCGCTTGCTCCACGCACCTCATAGCGGGTCCCGTGCCTGTCCTTCATGGTGGAGACGAGCAAGCAGGCGGGGCTCGCGCCGCCCCGCTGGTCCCTGGATCGAGGCCGCGGTTGACTTTTGGGAGCCTGCTGACACAGGCTCAACACCGCGCGGACGCCCTTGCCCCGGTTCCTCAGCCCCAAGGCCGGCAAGTGCCGACTGACCACCTCGACCTCGCAGTGCAGCTTCATCTCGCCAGAGAAACGGCAAACAGCTCCACAACCGGGGTTTGAAACTTCCCGGTTCCCGCCCGGCTGTGCCGCCGCCGGGGTCCTCCAGTACGCGGGCTGTCTGCGGATCTGCCTGTCTGCTCCGTGGGCTTTCTCACCACAGTGGCTCTAGGAGTCCTGCGAGGGCAGGGGCCGCTGTCCCCTCCCTCGCAGGGTCCAGTCTGTGACTGAGAGCCACAGAGCGCGGACACCGACAGCCCGAAGACCCACTAGTACCTCCCGAAACAATAGACTGATGTGGGCGCATGGTCCTTTCTGCGGACCGCGTGCAGCTGTCTGTGGTGGTGGCTGTTGTTTAGGGTAGAGCTCATTTCCGCTGATGACACCTAACCGTCACTTGTGTTTCGGAAAAGACGACTCAGACGGCCTGGGAGTTTACGAAGTGGGATTTATTTACACATGCGGACCCAGAGGAGATAAAAATCCAAATTCTGGGCATTGAGCTTAAGCTGGAGGCTTCTTTATATGCTTGTTACACAGGCAGAAGGAGGGGAAGGAGTACAACTGCTAAAACGGGGGTTAGTGTACGACTTTGAGATAACTGCGTATCTGGAAAGGATGCTGTCTGGAAACGGCTGCTGGTCAGCTCCTACCTAAGAATGGCTACTGCTCAGCTGTGTCCTGTCACACTTGCACACTTTGGGCTACTGAGTTTCCTGAGGGAAGGCAGGTATTCCTCTGTTAAAGGGAAAGTCTCCTTTCTTACATAGCTTCCGCACTTGGGACATTACCGGTTGCCGAATGCCAGCTAGGGCGCTGCATTTCCTGACTCTTTTTGGCTGGCATTCTGTTTTGTTTTTCGTGGCTCCCCTCATTCCGGAGGGAACGCCTGTCACATCAGAACGTATTTGATTTTGCAAGTTCTGTTGAACAAATTCCCACTTTGCAGCTGTGAGGGTTTGGGATGGATTGATTGGCTTAAATGCGTGTGCAACTTGGAAAGACCGACAGTCCACCCCAGATGTCTTCGGAGTCCTTATTTTGTCACCAGAAAGGGACCTAGTGGAGGCGGATCTGCCCCAGCAAGGTGTGGGATGTGTGGGCTCTTTACTTCCTGTAGGAAAGAATTCAAGACAGAAGTCTAGGTGATTTTGAGAGTGTGTTTATTAAGCCTAGGACAGTGGAACAGAGGAAGGGTTTAGGATAGAAGAAGCAAGATCATAGTAACAAAAATGAGCCTAGCCCTGGGCGGGTAGCTCAGTTGGTTAGAACCTTACACCCATATCCCAATTTTGCGGGTTCCATCTCTGGTCAGGGCACATACAAGAATCAAACAATCAATGCATCAAAAAGTCCATGTCTCTCTGTCACTCTCTCTCTCCCTTCCCCTTCCTCCCTCTCTAAAGTCATTTTTTTTTTTTTTTTAGAAAGAAGGGGGAGGGGAGGGAGGAGGGAGCCTAGGCTGGGCTAGTGAGGCTGCCTAGTCTCACTAAGGAGTAAAAGTCACAGCGACAGAAGCGTGCCAAGATGAGGCTGCTTTAGGCCCACTGAAAAGTTAGGCAACAGGAGAACTCTCAGAGTTGAGGAGAAAGTAAAATTATAAGCCTGAGGGAATGGAGGTGTGAGCAAGCTCAAGGGAGAGCATGTGCTGTGTCCTTTGCCTTGAGGTTTTTTTCCTGCTTTCTATAGCTGAGGAATTTTAGGGGAGATCTCAATCAGAATATTCATCAGCTTTTCAGGTGTGTTTTCAATATGATGCATCAAAATAAGCATATAATGGGGTTTGGGATCATTTTTTGGTCAGCTTCGTCTAGGATTTGTTTGGCTCTACTTTTTTGTTTGTTATTTATTCCCCTCACTTTATCCATTTTTAGGTTTGGCTGGCATTAATGGCACTAACTGGGTCTCTATTATCTACCTCCTTGACTAGGGTGATTTGACCTATTCCCTAGTTGGAGAGAAGAGATGCAAACCATCTGCTCCTAAGTGTCTCTGGTTAAGGAGGATAGGGTCTTATTATTAGTTGGCTGTTAATTGTTCAGCTATTCATTAAACTATTTTGTTTCCATTTTCCTCATTCCACTTTCCAGGGAATTTTTCTAGCTTCTTACTAATCTGCCTCAATTCCATTTATTAAAGAAGGCCAAGGCTCCTACCTAGGTGGAGCAAGAGAGGCCCCTGGGGCACACATTTTAAGGAGTCACTCACTCTGAGAGTCATAGTCTTTACTCTTTAAATATGCACTCCAGCTGCCCCCCTCTACACACTCTGGTCCAGACCTTGTATTAAGTATTACATTTCGTCTGAGCTGTATTTTTGCAGATGTAAATGATGTCCAGAAATGCTGATTTTCAATTCAATTATGATCATTTATTCTGTGGCCCCTGAGAAAGATGATACCTACTAAGAAGGACTCAAACTTAAAAACAGAGTCTAGCAGCCATTTCTACATAGGGGCTTCTCACAAAAAGCCCACTTTAGGGAGAAGCCTGCACTAAGCTGCCTTTTTCCTACACTGACCTGCCTGCCTGCCCTGTGTTTCTGCTATCTGAACCAACCCTTATGAAGGAATTACTGCAATCCTATTTCAACCAAAAGGACTGAGACTTATCCCACCCAATCAGAGCTGCTACATCCCCATCAGTATCTTCATAAGCCAATCAAAGTGGCTCTCTTTGACCAATCAGGACAGATTGCCTTTTAGATTTGGAGATCTCATTTTACATAAGGATGGACCAATTAAGGACTAGGGATGGGGACTCCATCTAAATAAGCCAGCTCCCCTCTGGCTGGCAGAACACACTTTCTCCTTTCCACTGAAGACTGCATTTCCCCTGCTGTAGCTGAAACACCCGAGATGTCTCACCAGAGCAAAGCAGAGAACAGAGTTGTCTACCCCGAGAGGGGCCTCACCCCATGGATTTCTAACAGCTATGCAGTTTCACATGTCAGCTGTATTGCAATTGAGCTGTTTGCACGAAATAAAGTTTCCTTTTTCACTACACCTCAAATTGAGGATTCCTGATGGTGTTGAAGTCAAGGACCATCTGTTGACACTAGCTGGCATTGCAGACTGACTGAACATGGAACTGCTCAAGAAATTTTTTTTAAAGATTTTACTTATTTATTTTTAGAGAGAGGGAAAGGGAGGGAGAAAGAAAAGGAGAGAAACATTGATGTGTGGTTGCCTCTCACACACCCCCTACCAGGGACCTGGCCTGCAACCCAGGTATGTGCCCTGACAGGGAATTGAATCAACAACCCTTTTCTTCTCAGTCCGGCACTCAATCCACTGAGCCACACCAGCCAGGGCAGGAAATACACAAGGAATGTTAAATTGGGCTACAGTTTTGACAAAAGGAACCAAAGAACATCTAGATCTGTTTTCCTCATGTCCAATCAGTTCTTGTTTTTCTGGGCCTACATACTATCCTTGTTCCCTTTTTTCTGTTTTGTTCACCCCATTAGTCTTTCAAAACCCAGTTCATTACTCATTTTCCACTAAGCTTTCTTTAACATATTGATCTTCCTTTTTGGAGTGGGGAAATACAATTGCACTTAAAATTACCTTTCATTCCTTTTATTTCCTTAGGTTTGAAGTGCATACCAGGCATTCAACAGATAATTAATTGACTGACTTTTCCTTTAATTTGTGCCCATAAGAAACTCTACTCACTTAGGTTTGTGGCTCATTCAGGTTTAAACTGGTAAAATCATAGTCACATCATATTCTTAAAAAAGCAAGGTCACAATCTATGGACATATTATATGGTCAACTTGTCTGCCCTACCACATTTGGACTAGATCATGGAGTTGGGTTTTTTAATGGTAAACTTCATCTAAAATAAAGCTAAAATAGTTAACAAATATGTACCTAATCATTAGACTTCTATAGAGCTGTCTTGAGCCTGTTGACACTCCTTGATCATGTTTTATAGGTTGTGTCTCCACTATGATTTCCTAATTAATACCCACCTTTCCATTCTTAGTACTGTCATGTCAGTTCAGAGCTGCATTACTTACCTTAAGAACTATTCTTCTACTTACCAGGTCTTCTTATTTCAATGCATTTATTTATTCGACATTTATGGAGTTCTTGCTATGTGACAGCACCTATGATAGATGTTTAGGTGGCAAAGATGAATTGACAGCGTTTAGGAGAGACAAGCAAACCACAAACTTTTACAAAAATGGATAAATGTTAGATGGGGACATTAGTATAAAGTAGCCAGATGATGAAAATAATTTGTTTGCTAAACCTAGGCCTTTGAAAACCATTGAGAGCAACATTTTCCAGCAGATAAAATTCAGACCTGTTTATGAAAGGTTACTGTGGTCTGTAAAGAGATTACTTTGAAGGTGGAGGAAGCCCAGAGGCAGTTATCAGGTAACTAGTGCAATAATCCACCATGTACACTGCTGCCAAAATAAATTTGTAAAAAGGTCTGCTCTGATAGAACCCTAAACTTTTGGAGCTGAAAGATAGTTTACAGATATTCTAATTCAATTCTCTCAATTTGCACAAGAGGAATAGAGGCTGAAAAGAGTAAAGGGGTTTGCCCATAACCCCAGAGATAGTGTTACAACAAATAGTGCTAGAACTCATGTCTCATGTGCTGTACTTAATCCTTCCTAAAAACTTTCATGGATTTCCACTCTTTGCAATTTAATTAAATGCAGATGCCCACAGATTTGTCTTGTATTCCTTGGGAATCCAGGTCCTATTACATAGCTGGACAAATCTCCTCAGGGCAGCCTTTGTGGTTTTCAGTTCCTGCTTAGCACCTACTCCTTAATGTTCCCTAGAGCTCAACTCTGCTTTTAAAAAAATATGATATTTCATCTAGCACTTTTGGATGTTCATGGCAAGAAGACGCTTACATTATCCAAATATTGCTCTGTGATTACTTATTTAATGCCTGTCTTCACCTCTACACTGCAAGCTTCCTGGGGACAGATTCTGAATAACTACTGTTATATTCAAGGCCTAGTGTAGTATTCACATTTACTAGGTACTTCATGGATATTTGTAGAAAGAATGAGTAATATAAATATATGCTATTCATTTATTTATTTAACAAGCATTTGTGAGAGCCTGCTATGTGCTAGAATAGAGCAAGCTTGCAGATGATTGCATATTCAATTAATATTGCGTGTGTTGGAGTAAGTAGCTAGCCACTTAGAAGGGAGGAAAGACTGATTTCTTCCCTACTCCTGCAGACAATGAAATAAATTTGAGATGAATTCGAGATTTAAAATGAAAATGTGAATGTACTATAAGAAACAGAAATTTTTAAGAATTTTGACACAAACCTAAAAGGCATAACAAATTGATAAAT